GAGAGAGAGAGAGAGAGTAGTCAAAGAAAAGAAGATATAAAGCGGGAAAGGAGAAAGAGAGAGAGAGAGAGTGATAATGAGAATGAACGAGAAAGAAAGAGAAAGAGAAGACAGGTTGAGAGAAAGACAACAATGAAAACAAATAAAAAAGGGGGCATTATTTACAAAAGATTGACACGAAGATCAAAATATTTACAAGATAACGACTCCCTCACCCCCCCCTTCCCTCTTCCCTCCCTCCCTCCCTGGCTTCCGTTTCAACCTTGAAAGTGTGTGGGGGGGAGGGGGAGGGGAGGGGGAAGGCGGTGATCCTCATAGGTAAGACGAATTGAGGTTTGACACTTCACCTTAATACGTGCGTGACTGTGTGTGTGTGTGCGTGTATGTGTGTATCTGTATAGCTATTATCTTTTCTTTTAATTTTTTTTTCTTTTTTTTGTGTATTTGTTTTTTGTTTTTTTTCTTTTCAATCTTTCTTTTTGGGTTTGAGTGATGGTAACCGAAACACTTTATTATTCATAGTCTTTAAGCAAAAATCGTTTATGTTACTAAAAAAAAATCATAGAAATCTTAACCTTTGCGTAATATAATAGCTAATTTTCTCCTTTCTAAATGATAATGATAAACGCATTATTAGAAAAAGAGCTTATATTCATACCGCAAGAAACCAAATGCATTTAGGACGGTCCTTTAATTAATTCATCACGCCATGAGTCCCTCCTGTGCCCTTCATCTTTTATTCATGAGATGTCAAGATGAAGACATCACTCAGACGTGAATTATACCTTTTCAGAATATGCCACAAACCGTTTTCACTAAACAAGAGAAAAAAAATATATTTCTAGCATACCACCAGCGAGTGTTTGGTTTAGATCATTATTAGTTATTATAAGTTATTATTCATACAGACTTATCTTAATTAGATATATAACACACAGAAGAGAGAGATAAAAAACTGATGGTCTTAGCGAATATTAACGGCGATTGAGATTAATATATTATATCTTACTGATGTTATGTCTTACCAATACACTATTCAATCTCGCCTATTCATTTATTTCAACGGTAATAGTAACAACACCTATTAATCATGAACCACTATAACGATACTATACAGTCGGTTTCTAATATCAGCTAGTTCACACTTCTTATAGAAAGGCAATTCGCTTATAAAAATAGTATTAATCATTACAATGATTATATAAAACATCTCTAATGTTCTCCAATCTACACATCTTACTTGATACTTGTTTTTAACACAATTAAAACAATACCTTTAAGGACACCGTTAGTCAGTAGACTCCTCTACCGGTAACATACAACCCTAATTCACATAGAAAGAAAGGGAAAATGTGGGTCGACGCATGCGCAGTCACTCTCATTACCACAGGTATAATAACACTATAATAACACCATAAGGACTAAGCCACCATGACGAGCACATTCTATTCCCTAATCCAATCTGCCTATCTTATAGCAAGGGAAAAATGTTAGTCGATGCTTTTGTTAAGTTTCTCACTCTCGTTAGCATAAGTGTAACAACAATTATAAGGACACCATTAACCATTAAACCGCTATAAGAGTAACATAAAAGCAGTCTCTTTCCCCCAATTGGCGCATCATATAGAAAGGGAAATCGTTAGTCGACGCATGCGCAGACACTCTCATTACCACAAGCATGATAGCACCCAGACGTACACCATTACCCACAATAACGAGAATAAACGACTATTGTCATCTATTCCCTAGTTCACACATCTTATACAATCCACATGTCATATAGAAAGGGAAAATGTTTGTCAACGCATGCACACATACTCCTACAAATATATCAACACCTTTAAGAACATTATTAACCATTAAACCGCTTATAACAATAGCATACAACCAGTTTCTAACATTCCCCAATTCACACATCACATACAAAGGGGAAAATGTATATATGTATATACTCTGTATGTATATACTATACTTACTATAAAATGTATATACTCTCATACAACCACAATTTTATAACGAGAACAAAGTCTCTACTTTACTTCACAACACTTATAAGAACATCACAACCATAACGAGAACAAAAAAAAAAACGAATCTCTACTCCCCCACACCCATTCACACACCTTATAAAACCCCCACATCATCGAAAGGGAAAATATGTTAGCCGACGCATGCACAGTCACCCAGTTCCTTTACCACGGCACCGCCTACCTTTGCGCGTGTATTCGGGCCGCCCTCCTTCGGCAGACTGACTCCCTTCTCCGGTCCCTTCCACTTTCTTTGAATTGTACGGAAGACCTTAGAGCGTGTGTGAGAGAAGGGGGGAGGGGGGGGAGGAGAGTGTGTTTAGGGGGAGGGGAGGAATTGGGGGGGGACGGACGGAGGGGAAGGGAAGAGGAGTATAGGTATTAGGGGTGAGGTGGGGGGGAGGGAGGGGTGTGTTTTGTTAGTTTTGGTCCTAATGAATATGTCTATTTGTGTGTATAGGTGTAGGGGTGTATAGAGGATATTAGTTATGCGTTAACCATAATCTCAAGGTGTGTACTTGTGTTTCTGTATGCGCGTGTGTTTGTGTTTGTACGCGCGTTTATGAATGTTAATACACATGTGTCTGTTTTTGCTAATGCGTGTTTCTGTTTGTTTGTTTGTACATGTATGCGTGTGTGACTGTACATCTATTAGTGTGTGTCCACTAAGTACCTGTGTGTGTACCTCTGTATGCGTGTGTGTGTGTGCATTATAAGGAGGTAAAAGGGATCATTTGTGCAAAATATCGTACACATTAACCTTGCCTTACTAAGTCTTCTCTCAAGCATCCATGAATGAATTTATCTCCCCTGGATCATCCCAAATGCATCTGCTGACACCGACATGAAGGCGCACCGCTCATTAACGAAGATAATAAAGAAATTTGATAAAAAGGAATGGAAGGCATGGAGATTATAAGATGTTTGATTGTTGATTGTTTTATGGCCTTTTGTCTTGTTTGTTTCGGATGACAAGGGGGGACGGGTGTCTTCGCTGACGAAACGGGATGCCATCTGGTCCGCTATTTACGTTTCACCACAGAGTCAACTTCTCTCTCTCTCTCTCTCTCTCTCTCTCTCTCTCTCTCTCTCTCTCTCTCTCTCTCTCTCTCATATATATATATATATATATATATATATATATATATATATATATATATATGTGTGTGTGTGTGTGTGTGTGTGTGTGTGTGTGTGTGTGTATGTGTGTGTGTGTGTGTGTGTGTGTGTGTGTGTGTGTGTGTGGTATGTGTGTGTGTGTGTGTGCATATAGATATATATATATGTATGTATGTATGTATGTATGTATGTATCTATCTATCTATATATATATATGTATTCCTTTTCTCTTTTTCTTTTTCACACCTTAGCATTCAGATTCACAACTTCCACCCACGCAAGGAAACTGTGCACATGAGCGTGCAATTTTTTTTAGCGCATTTCCCCTTCGACCTCTCCTAATGCCACCACACCCTAAGCATCCAACCTCCAACCTTGTATTTTTTGCAGAAGCTAATTGTTATCTCATATTTTATCTTCTTTGTCCTGTCTCGATGTGTCTATAATACCACTCGGGGCCTATGATCACACACCCCCTCCCCCTCTCCCCTTCCCTCTTCCTCCTCCTCCCCTCTTCCTTACCTTATGGGTTGAGTTTGGATAAAGGGTCTTATAATGGGTGTGGGTAAGTTATGGTATCTATGGCATTGCCTTCCCCCTACCCCCTCCCCCCCTTCTCACTTTCCCTTCCCTGTGGATATGTCAATTGGGTGGCGTTATCAGTTACGTGATTTCGTTCAAAAGCAACAATGATATGTCTTGGTGGTATTTCTGTGAAAAAGTATAATCCGCTGCCAATATTTACGGAAATATTATCTAACAGTGGTGAACTTTTGTATAGTGGTATATCCTATAAGTATATGTTTCTCGGTAGAAGTTATATCTTTCTCGTTCATCTCTCCCACGTTAATATACCTCTTCAGTGTTTCTGTTAACAGTTACTCATACTTGTTAATCGAACGGAAAATACAAAAGGAAAGACACATAGATTAAGATTAAACTTCAGAACGTTAACATCCGCGCGTAGAGTGACTACAACCACAGGCCTTGTAGAATAAAAATGTGTTTTAATGTACAGTATCTTTTAAGGAACGTACAATAATTAATAAAGGTTTATTGACCATCTTAGGACATCGGATACCATGTTTCTGACACCAATGAAAACACTTACATATATAACGGTTAAAAGGGGAGGAGTGGGGGGGGGGGGATTCCAACGAGCTTTCCTGTCGAAGAAAAAAATGAACCTGTTTGACTCGTTTTTTTTTCTCCCTCGGGAAAGGCCGAGAGGAAAGGGAACAAGAAACACTTTTGTTTTATTTCTTTCGTTGACTTTTCTAATGATCAGCAACACCCCGATATAACAGACTTTTTTTCCGTTTCGTTTTATCTGTGTATTATTTTGTGTACGTAGGTATATATATGTGTGTGTGTGTGTGTGTGTGTGTGTGTGTGTGTGTGTGTGTGTGTGTGTGTGTGTGTGTGTGTGTGTGTGTGTGTGTGTGTGTGTGTGTGTGTGTGTGTGTGTGTGTGTTTGTATGTGTGTGTTTGTGTGTGAGTGTGTGTGTGTGGATGTCTGTGTGTGTGTTGGTGCCATGACCTTAATAGTGAGAGTTCCCCTGCGCATTCTACAGTCATCTGCGACCTACTATAGAGCTTGAGATTGTGTGACGTGTGTAGCAGTTCTGATATTCGCCAAAAATGCTGCAACTCTCTTATAAATATTTGAAATTTCGTGATAGTCTCCCCTACGCGTATGTCTATGAAGAGGTAGGTAGGTAAATAGGTAAGTAGGGAAGTAGATAAACAGGTAGGGAAAGGAATGGATCAAAGGAGGGATTGATATATAAACAGACAAATAAATTACTAAAATGGGTGTAAAGACATGAATAGACAAATAAAACGAAAGTTAGAGAGAGAGATTAGTGTATAAGTATATGTCTTGACACATAGGCAGCAGATAGTATAGAGTTATTTTCTTAAATTTATGCAGGGAAGTGTGAAGACAAGTGCGTTAATTTCACAGTTTAAACTCATGGAGACAATACTTACACTCGGACAATACATGAGACAATACTTACACTCGGACAATACACATGGAAGACTAAGCACAACATTCGCTAGGCACTTTTTTATACATTTAACACAATTTGATATATCTGTACATATATACAGTTAACTATTTAATACGTATTCATATAACACAATTTGATAATATCTATATCAAATTGTTATGTTATGTTTGCGACTAATGCTACGATGAAAATAGTTACTGATTCTTTTTCGTTTTTATGTTTTGTTTCAGTTGGTATTCATTCAATAATATAGGAAAATTAGAAAACGTTTGGTTGCCCTTGTGTATTTAGTCAAAGGAAGATTTTGAAACTTCATTTGCAAATATTACAATACTTTTGTAAAAGCATGTGAAGATGAACACACGTATGTAGGCCAACATAAAAACCCGTACATATTATAGAGAAATAAATAATTTGCAGATCAGTACCAGTTAATGATTACTTTCTATGCACAACTAAATAAATAAATGAATAAATAAATAAATAAAATTGCAGTATTCTCAAAACAAATTACAACATGTCTTTTACATTTTTAATCGTCGTACCTTATATATATATATATATATATATATATATATATATATATATATATATATATATATATATATATATATATATATATATATATATATAGGAACCATGATATCTTTCTTTACATCTCTCGACTCTGTTCCATACACTTAATAACATTACTTAAATCTAACTGCCTTTTTTTCAATGTACGCCGACTTTCTGACATTTACGATACGAAATGATGACTAGGAACTTGACTGAAGATGATGCATGAGATGAAACGACGCGTCACAGATGAAACAACAGCATCCAAGGCGTTTCAGTCGCCAAGATCGACTCTCTCATCCGTTCCTGTTAATGAATGAATGAGTTTAATAACATCAGTCATCTTCTGTTGTACCGAATCAAGATACAGTCACGTCGGTTATTTGGTAGGAACTGGGGTTTAAAGTCAGAGATGAGTGTAGATGTATTATAAATGTATTAAAGATAAGTAACGAAAAGTGAATAAAGAAAAGGGGAGAAATCAAGTAAGTAAGTAAAACAGAGTAAATAAAGAAAGTGAATAAGCAAAATATATTAAATAAAGTAAGTAAAGTTACGCAAATAAGTAAACAAATGAAGTGAATAGTAGAATAAGTAAATAAGTAAACAAATGAAGTGAATAGTAGAATAAGTAAATAAGTAAACAAATGAAGTGAATAGTAGAATAAGTAAATAAGTAAAATGCAGTGAAGTGAACAAACAAAGTAAATAAATAGAACAGAGTAGATAAGTAGAGTGACTTACCTGGTATAGCCGTCTATGTCATAGCCATGCCAGAAGCGGTTGTCAATGTCCGGAGCCCAGATGCCGAGGGATTTCTGGAGGGGGGGTGAATGTTTAAATCTCTGTATGTTTTTCTTTTTCCTTTTATCTATCTATTCCTGCCATTGTCTTTTTCCTATCTATTTGCTTGACTCTCTCTCTCTCTCAATATATATATATGCATGTGTGTATGTCTGTGTATGTGTGTGTATTGTATCTACCTATGTATTTACCTATATCTCTGCCTACATGTGTAAACTATGCATATGCACAAACGTAAAAAAATGAAGAGAGAGAGAAATTGGGAGAAGGGAAGAGAAGAGAAGAGAAAGAGAGAGAGACAATATAATAGAAGAGAAGAGAGAGAGAGAGAGAGAGAGAAGAGAGAGAGAACGAGAAAGAGAAAAAAAGAGATATAGGGGTGACTAGAATAGAATAAAAATCCGAGTGGGACCAAAATACTTACCCTGCGGTTAAACCTACTTCTGAAACCGAACCTCTTCCTCGGCCTGAGATCATTAGGTGCTGCCACTACCAACGCTGACAACAATGACAACACCACGAGTATCAGGACCGCGCGTTGGAAATTCATCTGTGTGGGAACAGAGGAGTGAATTTGAAGAGGCTGGGTAGGCTAGGGTAGTGGTAGATTGAGTTCGATTGATATGTTGGTTTTATGGTTAATTGTGGTCTGGAAATAGAAGTAAGGAGAATGTGATTATATATACGATCTCTACGTCTATCTGTCAGTCTGTTTGTCTCTCTCTCTTTCTCTCTTTCTCTCTTTCTCTCTCTGTCTCTCTCTCTCTCTCTATCTCTCTCTCTCTCTTTCTCTCTCTGTCTCTTCCTCCCTCCCTAATGGACTTCTCTCTTCCTTCCTTTCCCCCCCTCCTCTCTCTCTCTCTCTCTCTCTCTCTCTCTCTCTCTCTCTCTCTCTCTCTCACTCTAACTCTCTCTCTCTCTCTCTTTAAAGGCATAACAAATAACCTTCCCCTTTTCACTTTCTTATGGCAAGAGGC